TTTATAAAAAATCTGGGTTGGGGCTGTTTATCCTCGTTGGTGAGGGGAATGGTTTGTGTTTGGGGAGGGCGGGACAGACGGCGGGACGGATAATTCGATTTGGGTTTTGGCAGGGGACAGGGAAGAGGGTGGGCCTGGGAAAGGCCGTCGGGGCTGGCAGGGGACCGCAGTGTCCCGGCCAGGTCACACCGTGGGTCCCCGCCCTGCCGGCACGGCTCTGGCACCGCTCTCAGGGAGGAAGGGGGGTCCGGGCGGCTCCACTCCCCCGGGGCCACGAGTGAGTCCTCGAAAGTGTCGGCACTGACACACGGCTGGCCAGGGAACGTCTGACAGCACTGCGAGGGCCTGGCGTGACGCTCTGTCCGGCGGCTGCGTCCCTCCACCATGACTTCATCCCCCTCTGAGTCATCCCCAGGGCGGGCAGGCGGCTCCTCCAGCCGCCCATGGTCCTGCTGCCGACAGACTGACCCTACCGACAGAATGAACCATGGTCCTGCTGCCGACAGACAGACCCTACCGACAGACTGACCCTACTGACAGACTGACCCTACCGACAGAATGAACCATGGTCCCACCGCTGACAGACTGACCCTACCGACAGACTGACCCTACCGACAGACTGACCCATGGGCCCACTGCTGACAGACAGACCCTACCGACAGACTGACCCTACCAACAGACTGATCCTACCAACAGACTGACCCATGGGCCCACTGCCGACAGACAGACCCTACCGACAGACTGACCCTACCGACAGACTGACCCATGGGCCCACTGCCGACAGACAGACCCTACCGACAGACTGACCCTACCGACAGACTGACCCATGGGCCCACTGCCGACAGACAGACCCTACTGACAGACTGACCCATGGGCCCACTGCCGACAGACAGACCCTACTGACAGACTGACCCTACTGACAGACTGACCCATGGTCCTCCTGCCATGACTGACCCTACCGACAGAATGAACCATGGTCCCACTGCCAACAGATTGACCCTACTGACAGACTGACCCCACTGACAGACTGACCCATGGTCCTCCTGCCATGACTGACCCTACTGACAGACTGACCCAACATCCCACTGCTGACAGACTGACTCTACTGACAGACTGACCCATCGTTATCCTACTGAAAGACTGACCCATGGCCCTGCTGCCAACAGACTGACCCTACCGACAGACTGACCCTACTGACAGACTGACCCATCAACAGCTTTTCCCAGTGCAATGGTCGCCCACCTGCCCATCACAGCAGTGTGTGGGAGATGATGGCTTTTCCCCCCCAAGGAGTTCACGGGCAGGAAGTGTATCTGGCATGCTGCAGCTGCTACACTACCACAAGGGCAATGTTACTCCAAAATCAATGCAAACTTACTCTGGAATAAAAAAATCTCACACTCCAAATTATGTGGTAGTAGAGTCACTTTCCTTCCAGCCCAACACTTGTGCTCCCACAGCCCAGCAGAACAGCTTCTCAAAGAACGAAGCACATGGTCAGATTCAGTGTCCCTGTTATAGAATTTAGAGGTTTCACAGAGAGACACTGAAATACCCTGAAGAGCAACTGCCACAGACCTGAGTTGTATGGACACATCAACACAAGGGTTTGTCATTACAAGCTCATGCAAATTTATGCTTATCACTGTACACTGACTATTGGATCAGACTATTTTACCATGGCACAAATTCTTTTTTTGTTTTTCAGTGTGAAACGACGAGGAATCTATTTCTCTTCCCGTCAATTCCCCCCCTCACAGGGTTATATTGCCTTTTCATACACAAACACAGGATTATTTTAGAAATATCTTAATCTCAGGAGCCTCAATATCATGCATCATGACCCATTGGATGTGGTACTTCCACTGAGCAGTGCCATGGAAGGCGGAGTGCTGGAGCATCCTGCTCGGAGTGGGCGGCTGCTCCGTTTTCTGACAAACTGGAAGTGGAATCATGTGAAGTCCCTGCTCTTGGCAGGAGATTTTTAGCAGTAAGTAGCAGCTTTATGAGGAATATCCTTTGCCAGGGGACCATCAGCCAGGGAGCAGTGGGATTCTTATTTTTTAATGGACTTTTAATAAGTAGGCCACAAAGATAGTCTTGACACAGAGAAGCTTTTTTCTCTGTGTAATTATCTCCCCTTCGCTCTCAAGCTCCCTGCAGCCTCCAACAGCAAATAAGACCACCAACCTCTCTGTGAGAAAAGGAGCAAGAAAGCAGCATAGAGCCACTTGAAATGCTCTTTGTAGCAGATCTCATCCGCTCTCCTCTCATCTGATACAAAAAACCAACCTCTCCTCCCCTCCTCTAAATTAATTAAAGCTCAGCTTTTGGTGTTTAACTACTTGAACCTTTACCAGCAGGAAAGTATGTGCTCAGAGCATGGGCAATGCTGGGAACACGATGCCATGCCTCCATGTGCTGCAGGAAGGCTGTCCACAATTCTGTCTCCTCCCTGCACACTGCCCATCCCTGGGTGTCCTCTGTCCTTCATCCTGTCACCATCTCTGGTTGCTGACACTGGGCAGGCAATGCAGAGCTGGCAGTGCCACATCAGCCCAGTGCTGCTGCTCCTCAGTCCCCACTCCTCGCCAGGCCACAGGGAAAACAGAATGAGGGACCTGCACAGGGTTCCAAACAATCCAGGACCCCTTGGGAACAAGCAGGGTGCTGGCTGAGCCTTTGGAACAGGTTACTCCCAAATGAGCACTCCTGCAGCACAGGCAGAATTTGAGCTGCTTCTGAAAAGACTCACAGAGCAAAATGCCACCAGGAGCATCCCTCCATCCCAGCCAGTATCTGACCTCTCCCATAATGGTCTGTACAGTCACACACTGACCCACTCTGGTGTGTGAAAGCAGATCCCATCAGCACCACAGCCAGGGGAGACCCTGGCTCGTGAAGAGGTGCAAAGGAGATGCCTCACTGTTCCCACCAGCTTTAACAACATATTCATCCCTTTATTACCTGAAAATGCCACCCTAAAACGAGTCTCTCCCCAGCAGAGCCCTCCTCTGCAGCAGCATGCCCTTCCCAAGCCTGCACACAGGCTCTTCCAGCACTCCCCTCATGTAGTCTTGCAGGAAATGGATGCAAATACTAGAGGTATCACAGCACAAAGTGTGAATTTCAAAACCCCCCAAGATCTCTGTGGGAGAGCTGCTCCAGGCTGAATGCAGCAGCTGCTGTTCTGCACCTCTCTCCTACTGTGAATCATGCAGCCAGTCCTTGGCTCTTAAAGCTTGTCTGAACATCCCACCTTCCACCTGAGCATCCAACAGCAATGGGAAACATTCCCTGTGTCGCTTCCTCCCAGACTCAGGGGGGCTCCTCTTTCAAAATCAACGACGTTCTGGCTGAGGTCTGCTCCAGGGGAGGTGCAAATTGTTCCCTTTGGTGCCATTCCTACTTGCAAAAACAGTCCTACAGGCGATGAAGCAAGTCCCTGCTTCTAGAGGCTGGCACTGAGCAAGGCTCCAAAGGGCAGCACACGTCCCCACTGCTCAGGCTGGATCATGTGGCTTTAAATCATCGTGGGAAATTCTGCAACCAGCGACACTTTGGGTAATTTCAAACCCCAAAACACAAACAGTCCCTGCTGGGTGCAGGAGGGGCAGGTCTGTGGCTGCTGGGGTAGGTAGGCAGATGCAGAGCAAAGCCTCTCACTCTCCACATTTGCTCAATTTAACACTGAAACCAGAATGAGCTGTGCTAAATGTCTCCACCGCTAACAAGAAACAAATGTGGCCTCATGTTCTAGTTGCTGTGATCTAACAAAACAGACCATGGTAAACACTATAAAAATGTACTGGAGGGAACCACCCTGTGTTTGCTGGGAGAGGGACTGGATCATCTAATAGGGCTTTATCCATCTCTAATGTCTCTGAAAAAAAGAAGGGAAAATTGGGCCCTGTCCATGACATTTGTCATGTGCTAGCTATTCTGATGTCTTAATGCTGCAGAAATCAAATTGGAGTGAGGCTACCTATCCACTTCCCAATCAGGATCTAGGCCCAAGTGCTGCTTTTTATGGCCATGCAGCGCGAAGATCTGCTGATGTCAGTGGTGTCACGGGCCAGGCCAGTTTTTCCATCCTTATTCCCACATTATCTGTGGAGACAGTCCCTCTGTGGCTGCCTCACTCTCCTTGTGACATGAATAATCACTCACTTCATGGACCTGGGGATCCACCAGCAGGACCTGCCTCTGGCTGCAAGCATTCATGGGGATGAGGCACCTTCCCAAAAGGTTAGCACTTTTCTGTTCCTGGGTATCATGGTATCAGCAGCAACACTGCCAAGGTCACGTCTAGATCTGTATCTTGGCCATGGTAATGGTAAGGGTTGACTCAGTCACCTGCCCCCAGGCACCTCGTGGTGCCCTGGAATCTGCTCTGCCCTTCAACAAAGGCTGAAGGGTCTCCACTAGCTTTAGTGCCACATCTGCCAGCCCCACAGGAGACCCCCAAGGGGATCTTGGACACCCTGTGGCACTTCAGATGGATTCATATGCTTCTGCTCAGATGTCACTCCCATCCAAGTAATTTTCCTCCCACATCTTCACTATAGGAAGAGCCCTGGCAGGCTCTGCAAGGCAGGAGCCCCACCCAGCTCCCAGGAGCCCTGTCACCATTGTCACCTCAGCTGCCATCTCCAGAGGAACGAGAGACACAGACCCCACCTGGCTCTTGCACAGAGCTCAGGCTGCGTGGGAACCCCATGCTACTGACACAAAGCCAGGTTTTCCATCTCCTTTTTAAAGCATTTCAGATTTGTTTGTTTTTTTTTTAAAGACACCGTGGCCTTGGCATGGGGAAGGACAAACACCAACTACCATTAAACAGCACGTTCTGAAAGAGGACAAACACAACCCACCACAGCCTGCAAGCATTATCTCCATGTGAGGAGGGGGCAAAGCACCATCTGGGGGGCTCAGACAAAGTGCTGCAGCTCCTTGCTCAGCCTGACAGATGACACTTCCACGCCTCCTCCAGCTCTTACCTGGCTCTTCCCGCGCCGCCGGTAATTCCTCCTCACGAGGTTCTTGTAATTCTCATTCTTCTTGGTCAGGTAGTAATAGAGGACACAGTCAGCCACCGTCTGCAATGACATGGGCACGTCAGGGAACAGAAGGTCCTGGCCTCGTGCGCCGCTGGTGGGGCACAGACTTCCAGGAGCAGCGCTCAGAACCGGTCATCACCAGGTCTCCTGCTGCTCCTGAGCACCTGCAGCCCAACAGCCTCCCCACACCTCCCTCCCTCAGGCTCCCAGAGCACTGGAGAAGGGGACAGTGCTGTCCTAGTAAAAAGGCTCAGCCCTTCCAAGGACAGAGCAGGGCGGTCCCGCAGGCATGCGGGGATGGAGATGGGGTGCTGAGCAGAGATCACCCCGTGCTGGAGGCAAAGCAGGGCTGACCCCAGATGACCGCGGCAACCAGAGGCAGAAGAAGGAGCTGCCTGTCAGCCTCTGTGAGGTTACAGGAGGCACAACCTGCCACAGCACTGTCAGCTGCTGTTACTTCCAGCCGCTAAGCTCGCTGGCTCGAGTGTGTGCCCCTTTGCTGCGGCCAAACCGAGATCCCAGCACTCGGGAGCTGCCATCCCAACTCCAGTGGCTGGCTCCACAAACACCACCACAGACTGGGCACCTCAGGAAAACCAGGAGTCACAGCCAGCACATATCCTGCGCTCCTGAACAGCACAAAGTGTGCCAGGCTGGGAGGAATCCTGTGCTGAACAGAGTGGGCACCTGAACGCCAGCCTTGGGTACACCTTCACATTCAGGATTAGTGGCTTCATGAAGATAAATTATCCCACAGATCCATCATGCCACGAGTCCTCAGGAGCTTGGGGCAGCTGTGTGTGCCCGGGGGCTGTGCTCACCCCATCCCTCTGCAAGGAGTGGAACCATTTGCAAAAACAGATTGCAACTTTTAAAGTGTTAATTGGATCTCTTTCTAATTTAGCCCTGATTATACACACACACACGCGAACACAAAAACTTACAGTCATCTGTTCCAAGGGCTAAGATCACTATTTTTTTATAATGCAATTTAAAAATCTATTAATTCATTACATTGAGCCATACTTTGCATCTCTCTCCAACAGGATAATGGATGTGTTCTGTATCATAATTACAGCCTGATTTACAAACGAGTACAAATAAAATTAGAAGACATTTTACAGCTTGGAACACAGACTGGATTGTGAGCATCATCCAAGTCCCACCACTTTCGGCTTTATCGAGTGAGAAAGGATGAGGAGCTTGGGATCTTACAGCAGCAGCAGCAGCATGAGGGGGCTGCTGGCCTTCCTTGCTCCTTTGGACAGGAAGGTCAAGGTCTTATAAATTATTTCCCCAGCCTGAGTTACAAAGAATCAGAAAATAATTTAGGCTGGAAGTGACCTCTGCAGGCCACCCCTGAGAGCAGAGTGGTTCCCTCAGAGTGAGTGGACACTGTGTGTATGAAACTCTGCATGAGGTGGCCAGGGGATGCAAATAACTAAAAGGACCAGAGAAGCAGCAGCTTTCAACTGTTTCTTGCTCAGGAGAGCATTCAAGTGACTGACATAGCTGTGTTTTCAGGCTGGGTCTGTCCAGGATCTGCCCATATGGCTTGTCCCATGGAAGGCACCTGGCCTTGCTCAGAATGGGACAAGAGACTCACTCCTCCCTCAGGTCTTTCTTTTCCTCAAACCTTTCTTCCATCAGCCCAATTAACAACAAAAACAAAAAGTCCAAGCAGCACAACACATGAGGTCTGGGAAAGGTCAGGCAGTTCCTGTGAACAACTCTTCCTAGCACCAAGGGGAGCTGTGTGTTCTTTCAGGACACCCACCAGAACTGCTGCATGAAATGGGACTCAGCGCACCCTCAAAAACCCCTCTCTCCCTGAACAAAGAGACCCCTCCACTCTGTGCCGGGCAGCTGGGTGCCCACCCCCTGTGTGACAGCCTGGCTGGTGCAGAATGCCTCGGGGAGAAGCTGGGAAGCAGCTCCAGGCAGATGACGGGGTGGCTGTGCCGCCCCCGCGCCAGGCTGGCTGCGTTCGCACCTCCCGAGCTCCCGCAGCTGACTCAGCCCTGGCTCTGCAGGGAGCCCGTCTGGACCCTGCCCGGGGCCTGAGCCACCACCACCACCACCACCACCCACAGGTGCTCAGCATCTGCTGGCAGCTCCAGCACCGAGGGATGGCAGGAGAGGCAGCACAGTTCAGGTTAGAGCCAGGCTTACCTTCCTGTCCAGGAAGGATGCGATCAGGCCGAAGTTCTTCGGGTGCTGCATGAACCTGCAGAGCGAGAGGGAGAGGGTTACTGTGGGTGCTTGCTCTGACCCCCTCACAGCTGGGCTGCCATGCCCTGCGTGCCCAGAGCAGCAAGGCCAGCTCCCAGAGGGACTCTGGGCTTTGAGAAAATATTTGTCTGCTGCTCAGCTTCCCAGAAAGACAGGAACTTTAAATTTAGCCCAGTGGGGCTGGGCTGCTTGGGAGCTTCAATGTGCAAATGTTCATCATGGGGTGGGAGAGGGAAGGGGGGCTGGAAGTGCTGGAGAGCTGCTCATCAACCCGCTTGACCCCATGGCCACCCAAGCCTGTACCAAGTGCAGGCACAGAGGGCAGGCACACCTGGCCAAGACCTCAGGATCTGGCAAGAAAAGGGTGAGGAACTGCCAACACACTCCACATCATGGCCATGGGTGGCCCCAGCTCTGAGCAGGACCCCAAGCCCTGCTGGGCTGTTGGGAGCAGCTGCAAAGGACAGGAAGGGAAACACAAACCCCGGGAGGAAGCACAGAGCTGCCACATTGCTGAGTTGCTCAAGAGATCCCCAGTGGCACAGCAGCTCTGACAAACACCACCTCATGCCCAGCAAGTGGAGGAGCTGTCAGCAAGCTCCCCCCTGGCTCTGGCAGCCCAGGAGAGTACACTGCCTGCTCAGGGGAAGCTGTCCCCACTAGCAGAGATGCCTCCTGCAACAAATCCCTGTGCCTGGCTGGTGTGGAAGCACCGAGGGCCAGCAAGCCCTTGGCAGGAGGTGCTGCTGGCAGCACAGTTAACCAATGCACTGCCAAAGCATGGACAGCCCGGTGAGTGGTGACTTTGTGCCAGGAGAGGTGGCCACCAGCACGGGCTCTGCCCCAGGGAGCTGAGCAGGCAGGGAGAACCACGTTCAGCACATGCACCTCTGCCAGCTCCCAGGAAATGACAGCTCTGTGCCCTGGGGAAATGGATCAAGGCAAAAGGTGGGAGAGCTGCGGTGTGGGTGGAACACAGGACATGGTGAGGAGCTCATGTCTCCAGCCCTGCCAGTGCCTCCCCTGGGGCAACTGGCACAGTGCTCCCCTGCTTTTGCTGCTCTGTCCCAGTGGAGTCAAGGCACTGAGCTGAACTCAGGGAGGGCCTGGCCAACTCCAGCCATGGCAGCAGGACATGGGTGCTGTCACCCACATTGATGCACAGCTCCCATATGGTTTGCGTGGCACCGCAAGATCCCTGTCACCATAATTGGTCACCAGAACAAAAAAGAAACCAGAAATGCTAGGGGGGACAAAAAAAAAAAAAAAAAGGAAGAAAGCAAACCAGACAGGCTGCTCAGACAACCTGGGGTGAGGGCACAGAGCCAGAGCTGGCTCCTCACTCTGCACACAGCACAAACCCAGGGCTGACCACAGGATGGGGTTTTCAATGATGCTAACACACTGCTGGGGCAATGCAGATAACAATCCACTCCTTTTCATGGGCCAGGCCATAATGAGAGATGGATGCTGCATTCTCACACTGCCCAGCACAACACAGCCTCAATGCCTGAGCAGCACCCTGCTCCTTCACCAGCAAACCGCAGCTTCCCTGGGAGTAGGCCAGCAATGGGCTCTCAGCAGAGACCTGAAATCCTGCCCAGAAGCAAATCAAATCAGGTTCTTCCTCATGGTTATGTTCTGACAGCTAAAATAGTTCAGACCTGGAGCTTGTCAGCCTTGCAGTGCCTGCCTGTTTACTCCAAGAGCCCTGCCAACTGGGCTGAACAAAAGGTTGAACCAAGTTTTCCTGGTCTCAGGAGGAGGCCAGCTCGAGGTCACGATCACGGATGACACAACTCCAGTTCACCTTAAAAACCCAGGCCAGAAGCTGCAGCACAGCAGGCAGCTGGGCTTACCAGCACGCCAGGCTGGGGGAGAGCTGGGGCAGGGCTCCCTACACCCTCCTGACAGCTCCTGAGTACCAATCTCTCCAAATGAGCTTTGTGAGAGCCCTGAAACCCTGCTGTATTTCTGCCTCAAGCTCTGCATCACCCCCAGTGATGACACAGAATGCACCGTGCACTGCAGGATGCACACACTGGGTGTGGATTCCTCCAGCCCCATTAGACAGGCACAGCCCTGCCATTAGAGACCAAGTAATTAGCCTTTGCGTCATTTGTGGCAAGCCTGGCTGTTTGGAGTGGCACATTTTAAGGCTAATTAGCAATGAGGATTCTCCTCTATCAAAGGCTTGGAGCCGGTTTGCTTGTTTTGTTCTTTTTCGGTCCATCTTGGCAATTAATTATTTCAGCTGCAAACAGGAGTCCTGACGAGCAGGGAGGAGGAGGGATCTTGGACACAGAGAGGCTTCCAGCATGGCTGGAAATCCCTGGAGCCATCCCCTGGTTGTCCAGAGGCCGGACTAAGTGGTGCTGCTGCTCAGGACAATGTGGTCCTGGTGTGTCCATGCACCTCCATGTCCCTCAGGCCCACAGCAGGGAGCTCCAGCAGAGCTCATCCCACTGGAAACTGAACTCCAGCTCTGTTTTCACAGCACACTGGGGCCACCAAGGAGACTCCAGTCCTCCATGCAGACACACCTGGGTCCCCACTGGGCTATGGGATACAGGGGAATCTGGATGTGAGACCAAGCTGAGCCCCCATATCTTGGCTGACAGCACAGTGGCACCCAGAGAAGGAATCAGTGACTCCCCAAGTGATCTCACTTGATAGAGCCAAGCTGTTCTCAGGCACTGCTTGCAAACAGGAGAAAGCACCACAGCCAGAGTCTGCACGTGTGTGATATGGGAACGCATCCATGGAAACAGCAGCCGGTGGCAAATCCTGCAGACAGCAGGATGGAGCACTGAGGGAGAGCACCAGCTGGAAGCTGCAGCCTGAGGGGGTCTACATAAGGGGCTTGGATGCTGACAGCCCCAAAAATCCCCTGGACACACAGTGCCCAAAGGACAGCATGAAAATCCAGAAAGGCAATGTGTATGGAGTGTTGGGTTTCCCTGGTGTTATCTTTAAACTGGCTGATACAATAGGGAGTGCAAAAGGTGAAAAACTTCCTGTTCTCATCCTGCCACAAGCAGCAGCTTTCCCCCCCAACCATAGAGCAAGGCCTGAAGTTTCTGTGCAGAAGCATCACCAGGTTCAAGGTAACACAGCAATTTGGGATGTGTCTGTGGGGACCAGCCAAGCCCTTGGGATATTCCTGCAGGGATCCTACCCACACTCCCCGGGGCTGCACAGACACAGCTGTGGGGGCTGCACTCACTTTTCCCGGAAGGTTTCCTTCTCCTGCTCGCTCCACATGTTCATCACCTGCCTGTCCTTGTAGACCTTCATGGGGTCATCCATGAGGCCGTTCATGTTGATGAATTTGATGCGCTGCTGGTCGGCATCGTAGAGCATGGGCGGGATGACGGCGAGCTGGCGCATCTGCTTCTCCAGGTTCTTTGGGGAAAGCACACACAACAGTTGGTCAGCACCACAGCCCCGCGGGGACTGCAGGGGACAGATGTTCCAGAGGAAAAGGACAGGAGGAGGAACAGGAGAATTCAAAAGCAAGCACTAGACAGCTTTATTGCTGGAGTAATTGTAAATTAAACGCTGAAAGAGGCTATCGCTGTCAGCCAGGAAACAATTAATCTTTCATTTTGGAATAAAAGGCTTCAAGATCCTGTGTGGAAATGTCTGACTTAAGTGAATCCTGACCATGATGAGAAACAAGTCAAAGCAGTGGTGGCACAGGGAATGCTGATCCCCTCCCAGCCTCCTAAAGCCCTCTTCCAACTGTGAGGGAAGTGGGCCAGCTTTGCAAAGCTTCCTGAAAAGGTGGGCAGAGGCAGACATCATGTTTCCCTTGCACAGGAATTGTTCCAGGAGGTTTCATGTGTCACTGAAATGAGGCTGTCATTCCTTACTGCAACACCCCAGGACATAATCTGATGCCTCTACTCCATCCTATGGAGCACAAAGTTCACCCAAAGCCCCAGCTGCACACCAGGACAGGACCGACTGGGCACACTGGTTTCCTTAAGTATTTGCAACAGAGAGGCCAATGTGATGTCTCATTTGTGCTGTGTTCTGCTCAAATGCCAGGACTGTCCCTTTGGCTGAGCTGCTGGTGATCCCCTGGCCACCCCCTTTCAATTGCACCATCAGTCTAAGTCCTCCCTGTCACCTGGGATGTCACTGCTCAAACTGCTCCAACCCTTGACCCAGGAAGGCCAGGTCTCAAGTGCTGCTGTTTCAATTGACAGCCAGATGCTGGTTCCTGGGAGAACAGTCATGGCCAACCCTTCCAAGAAGCTGCTGACTCCAGCCTGCCCAGTGCTGCTCTGCTTCCCTGCGGTGCTGATCAGACCCAACCTCCTCCTCCTCCTCCTCAAGCACATCTCTCTGCACAGATATGGAATTTCAACACGTGATCACCTTCCCCACCCTCACTAGGACACCTCCTGCTTAGAAACTGGCTGCTCCAGATGCCTCCTCATGGTGGGAGCTGAGGAACAGCTCTCAGCTGGAGCATCAACCTGGCTAACTGCAGACTCCCCCTGGTGACAGGAGAAGCCCCTGTGCAGAGCAGAGAGGATGCTGGTGGGAGCTGAGGGCACAGTGCCCCTCAGGGTGCTGAGTGCTGCCACTACACCCCACCAGCCAGACCCCCCTCCTCTCCAGCAATGTGCTGGGCAGAGAGCTGGCCCTGCTGCCAGATATGCTCCCCAGCTCTCACCTCCCTGCTCCTTCCGACCCTGTGGAAGAGCTGGAAGCTCCTTAAGGCCTCCTCTGAGACATGCAAAGCAGATTTGGGGCTCAGCAGGAGTCTGTTGGGGTGGAGTTTAGCAGCACACTGTGCAGGGGGATGGAGGGGATCAGCTAACTCTCCTCCTGGCCAGCACCTCTGCAGGGCTGTGAAATTCCACTCTGCTTCCAAGATCCATGTCCTCCACGCTGTCACCTTAACTGGCTCAGAGCAAAGTGCCTGGGATCCCAGAGAGGGATCAGCCGTGGTGCACAGGCAGCAAACATCCCAGCTATTGCTGGGCAAGGGCTGCTCTCCCCTCCCAAACATGATCCATTCACTGCAGCTCGCCTCCGTGCCAAGAGAGTGGAACCCTTGTGAAACCAGATCCAAACGAAGCCGAGGTCACAGGGATGTTTCAAGATGAATGGAGCACTCCCAGAAGATGTGGGCCAACTGGCTCACGTACAAACCATTCATTCCATAGGATTCCCCTGTGTCAAGTCACACAGCCCATTCAAAACAAAACGAAACAGAAAAACCCCTCCACCCAGCAGCCTGGGTGCTGGCTTCCTGCCCCTTCCCCTTCCCATCTTCACTTCCAGGATAAACCACAGCCAGGAGGTGTTTGTGGGGTGCTACCTAGGATGAGCAGCACGCTGGGGTTTCAGGCCCCTAAGAGACATCCAAATGCTGATAAACCAAACCTACTGGCCACGTTTTGCTCCGTGTTTTGCTCTGGCAGAACCACTGAACAGCTCCATTACATCTCTCACATAGCTGGGAAAATGCTGATGTGTATTAAATAAACCTCTGACTTTGGATCTCATCCAGAAAGTGTTTGGGATCATGGCAACCTCAGTGGGACCTAAAGTTAGTGGGATCTGGCACAGGACTCCACCTGTGGAGACCTGGCAGTCCTGTCTTGGCTTCCTCAGAGAAGACAGAGTGAGGGGTGAAGAGGAGGAGGAAGGGGAAGCTGCTCTCACCTCTTGCTCCGAGAGGCCGTCGATGATTTCGGACACCTCGTGCTCGCTGCGCGCGGCTGACATGGAGAGCCCGCCACTGCCCCTCTGTCCTACCCTGCTGGGAAAGGGCAGTGGCACACTCAGGCACTGATGCTCCACTTCACAAGCAGCAAACCACGTTCAAGAACATTTGACCTCCATAACAGCCATATCCCATAACGTTCCACCCAGGCCACCCCCTCCCACACTGTGGGAAAGGCACCTGCGTTTGGGGCTCGCAGGTCAAGAGCACCAAAACCACTTTCCTTACCTGTGTCAACTTCCTGGACTGCTAGAACACAAGGACATTTCACGCCCAACCACGCTCTCCCCCATATTTTCTCCTACTCACCCCACCACAGCAATGGCACAAAGGTGTTGGTGTCAGCACTGAGCCATTAGCACTGTGCCACCACATCTGGTTTGCAAAATGCTGTGGCAAGTTTTAAATCAAACCCATCCACTGACATTTTCCCCTTACAGTAACAGCCACACAACCCAAGGAATTACAACTTTTCTTATTAAGCAGGTAAAAAATTAAAGCTTTTCTCGGTACCATTTTTCCCTTTCTCTTTCAGACAAAATAAAGCCATCAGTTAGGAAGTTTGGACCCACCCAGTTGTTAGTGGGGCACAAGGATGGGATGTTGGCAGAAGGGTTTAGGTTTTCTGCGTATCAGGTGACCCCAGGCAAGGTGCCAGGGCTGAAATGGGAAGGACAAGGAGTTTTCAGCAAAAAGGGTGGAGATCATGAAATCGAGTCTTCTCCTGGCAGAAAATAACATGACCTCAATTGCACTTCCAATGAAGAAAATGGACAGGGGGTGGGAGAGACGGGGGACATCCCTTCCAGTGAGACATTTTGCTCCCTTCATATTGTCTGTGGTCATTTCAACAACCTCTGCAGATGTTTCTGCTCCCATCAAAGCATGTGCATGTAATAAATCATCAACGTGACCAAATGCACCTGCAAGTTTTGTACATCTTAATCTGGGCACAGCAGTGAGGCAGGAATTAGGGCTGTCCCAGCCAGCTGGCCAGCACAGGGGAGCTACCCCTGGCCCTGATATGGCCAGCTGGGAGGTGAGACAGGCAGTCACATTGCTGACATTTTTTGCTCCTTTTGGCTCTGTATTGAGCCACCCTGGGGAAAAAGCAGCAAGGCAGATGATTTGAGCCTTTGAGTTAAAGGACTTAAGCCCTTTGCATTTTCCGAGCTCTGCCACGCTAGCTGGTCCTTTTCTTGGACGTGGTGTGGTGTGATAGCCTTTTGTAATTTAGTTGTTTTCATTACTTAAGGCGAAGGCTTGCTTGTGGTATTGGCCTCACTTTTCCTATCCTTTTGTACTGGGAAGAGTTCATCATAGATAGAAACTGGGGAAAAAGCAGCAAGACTCTCATCTGTCTGCTGCCTTCTGCCCTTGACTGGAGAGGGAGAAAAGGCACCGAGAGCCACCCCAGCCCGCTCCTCCCACTACCAAACCCACACCCATTCCCAAAGAGAAAAGAAAGGCTGTCTGATACCAGCTCAGCCCCTTCCTACCGCTTCTCCTCTAACCTCTGCATGCGCTCTTGCAGCTCGCGTTGCTTGCGGATCTCCGGGAATTGCTTCTCATAGTATTCCCGCACTTTGCTCTCCTTGGCACGCCGCCGCGGGTTATTCTCGATGCGCTCCACTTTCTTTTCCCAGGCCTCCATCAGCTGGTCATAGCGCTGGCAAAACTTCTGCTCCTGAAAGGGCAGAGGGAGAGAGGGAGCTCAGAGATGTGCCTGGGAAGGGCAACTCCTCCAGGCCTTGCCCTCGATGGCTGCTCAGGCTGAGTGTGAGTCATGTTGCTTAAAGAAATACAATTTATTAGGACATGGACAAGCTCCAGGGCCTGGGGCCAACCCAAGGGTGAATTCTCAAAACAGGCCATCAGGTACCCTCAGGCTCTTTCCTTCCAGACCCAACGTGTTTGGTGGCAGCAGGACTCTTACCCAGTGTGGCTCGGCCCACCCCTCACATCTGCACATCTCACTGAGCATCCTCTGGCCCAACAGGTGCTTGGTTCAGCAGCCAAAGGCCCACACCCCAGCAGAGAGCAAGGTGCCTGCCTGAGGCCACTGAGCAAGGAGGGACTGAGACATGGCCTAGGGAGGAGACACAGGGGGCAGGAGAGCCGGTCTCCATTGTGTGAGCAGGGTGTGCAGGGCCATAATTTTGGAGCCACCAGCTCACCATGCTGGGGAGAGCTTGCCATGGTGCCCAAGGCCAGGCACCCCTTCCTACCCACACACACCAGCTCCAGCAGTCACAGCTCTGTGCTGGCAATGATGATGGGATTGGGACCATGGGACAGCTCCATGCAAGGGCCTGGCTCCCCAAAATCAAGAGCCAGGCACCCAGCCCTGGCCCAGAGCCATACAGTGTGGTGGCCTGGCCACACACTCAGCTCCTTCACTGTCCTAAAAAGCAAAAGTACTTTTCCTGCTGCTGCTCCTATTTCTTGGCCCATGTGACAGGACCAACACATCCCCACCAACAGCAAACCCAGGCTCTGCCAAAACATGGCAGTGCAAAGGGTTTCCACACCCTGACCCCCTGGGTGACATCCTCATGGCACACCCACCAGGTCCAGCACTGCACTTCTGACTGGTATTTATGGGACAAGCCTGACAACACTGAAGTAAGATTTGCAACACAAATGAGTCTCCTCCCATTACACCCCAAATCTCTTCTCCCTCCTCCAGCCACACTCTTGCTGGAGGAGAACACCCACACACAGGGAAGGTCCCTGGTGGGAAGATCCCTGTCTGGTCCCTGAGAGCCACCACAGTGGCAGCAGTGCCCAGCCTCAGCTGAGAGCAGCTGGGGGACCAGAGGGGTTTTAGGGTTTCAGTTTGTGTCTGACAAATGCCTTCCAAGCCCCAAATCAGGAAGTGAAAGCAGATGTTGCTCTAATGGCAAACCCCAGGTCACTCCTGACCCTGACACCGCTTTCCAGAATGGGTGGCTCAGCACCAGCACACTCAGCACTACAACAGAGACACAGGGAATCCAGATTTCAAAGAAATAAACTCATCTCTTGCCACCACCTCCCTATGACCAGAAGTCTGAGGCTGCAGGATTTCCCAGAGGCACTTTGTTCTCATCTCGTTTGCTCTTGCCCACAAAGAAAGATTAGGAGAGGTAAAAAAACCCCAAACCATGGGAAATGCACAGCAATCTGCAGCCCATGTCACACCAATCCTGGCACATGGCAATAATCCAAGAACAGCAACACATCTTTGATCTCCTTGGCCTTTTGGAGGCACCTCAACAATAATGTGAGGTGAGCACCTCAAGCCCCAGAGCTGAGCCAGATTAACACTTTCCCCTGCAAATAAATCAATTCCCACTTGCATGCCTGGAGCCAGAGACTGTCCTGCCCTGCATGGATGCACAGGAGGTGCTAGGGTTCCACCAGGAGCTGAAGGAAACAGCCACAGGATAAAAACAAGGAAGGAGAACAGAAATTAAAATGCCCTGAAAGCCCACATGGGGTATCTCACACTTTGGGCGAGGAGCTACAGGTAACACCAACAGCCTGCGGCAGCTTGGCAGAATCACAGCTGCTGCTTTTCACCTCTCCCAAAGCAATGCCATCAGCCCCCTGAAAACGAGAGCTCCCACCCTGCCAGCAAATCTGCTACATCCTCCTGCTTTCAGAGCATCACATTTGGGAAGAAGCTAAAAATACCCCATGAAGTTTGTGAAGCTGGTGCCCGGCGCTGCCAGCCCGCGGCACGGCCGGGAGAGAGCCCAGCACGAGGGCTCGGGCTGGTGACAAGCCTTGAGGCTTTGAAAGGTTTGTCATTCCCCGTGGGAATGAGCCAGTGCTGGGTCCCACATTGCCACCACCCCAGCAGAGCCACCTGGCACGGCCCTGGCTGCTTCACAGCCAGCAGGGCGGCTCTTTTTCCTCCTTTTCTTCCACTCCTTGGAACAACTCGACAAAAGCTTTATCCAGAATTCCTCTTCTAAGGAACTGGCATTTGAAGATGGAAAAAGCAACATCAGTGTCACGCTGCTGATCCCCCAGGAGCTCACACCCTGGCAGCAGGGCAGCAGTACCAAAGCTTCCCCCTGGCACAGCTCTGCCCTCCAGACTATGGCTTCACAATGAACTGGCTGAGCATTTCCTGAACTCCCAACCATGCAAACTTCAGCTGGGCTGGGCTGCAGCATCCCCATCCAGTGCTTTTTGCTCCAGCTGGGACAGAGATTGCTCCCTGCAATCTCCTGCATCCTTCAAAAGCCAAGATTACAGACATCCTACAGCCCTGCAAACTCCTCAGATCATCACAGCTCCACCACCAGGAGAAGCTCCTGGTCAGGCACTTCAGGAACAGAAGCATCTATTCCTTCTCTGTGCTTCCTCTGAGCAGCTCTAAGCAAGCATGTCCACTCCTGAGCAACCATCTGTGCTGGCTTTTGGCAGGGCTGCCCCCTCTGCTCCCCTCTCCATCACACCAGTAAGTGACAGCGAGCCCAATGGGACCTGACAGGGATCTAAAAATGGATGGATAGTAACGCTGCCGTAGTAGCTGAAGGCAGCTCGTGGGCTGTGCCAAGCCCCAGCCCTCCCACAGCTCCAGGGAACAGAGCAGCTCTCTGGAGGGAGGAGAAGAGCGAAGGTGACAGGAGGAACCAGCCCAATTCCTCTGCAAGCCCCGTGGTTTTCTTCCCTTGGCTGATGGAGACAAACCTCTCGCACCCAGAACAGCTCCCTTCACCATTCCCTCTCTGCATCATCACCCTGGTGGCAATTAAATGTCTTCTGCTGTGCTGACCTCAGTGCAGGCAGGAGGAAGCCCTGTGGATCCTCTGGGATGGGGCTCTCGGGGCTGGACCCTGCTCTGACCCTGCTCCAGCCAGCCCCAGGCAGCAACAATGCCCCAGAAAGTAAAAGAGCCAGAAAGAAACACTGGCATGTGGATGGGCTTTGCTAAAAATAGGGTCTGCTACAAAATAGGCAGAAAAATAGCTAAGCATACCCATTTTGCAAACAGAATCAGCAAATGTATTCACTTTGCAAATTCAGCAACCGTATGTTGCCTATTTTGTAGAATAGGCAAAATGCTTCCCTAAACTGAAAAATCCCCTTTCAAGGACACTGAATAAACTGGCTGGCAGAAATTCACCTATTTTGCATGACAGGCGACTTTACTGCAAGTCGTATTTTAGGAACTGTGCTCTTGCAGCCTAATTAAACCTTTTCCCCCAGCTCCTTGATATTCACACAGAGCAACTCACTCCAAGTTTAGCACAGTAACCAGCCATTTCCACCAGAAAGCAGTTCCTGGGCACTTCCCTCCTGCTTCCAACAAAATCACGTGGTGCTTTGCAATCCCTTTTTTGAGGAAGGGAATATTGACCCACTTCCCACCATGCAGAGTCCTCAGCTGCAGGAGGGGAGGTGCCCAGAGCATCATCCGACTGCCATGCCACATCCTGATGGAGTTGTAAGCCTCGTGGCCTCGTGGCCTGGTAGAAGCTTTATCATGAACAAGTCTAAGTGAACACGTATTTGGACACAAATGGGACACAACCATTCTTTGGGAATGCAAGGTCTGTGGCTTTTGGAATGCTGGTAGAAAACAGCATGAAAACAGAAAGCACGAGGAAGGAAAAGAATTATTCAAAATACATTAGAAAATAATGTGAGATCTGCCTTAGAAATGTATGTATTGGAAGTTACTTTTAAAGGTACAGCCTTCAAACCACTTTCCAGGCTTGTTATTTTGAATTTTTCCAACAATTCCTCCCAGTTTTGGCACTTCTGTCCAAAAGCAGCCCTAAAGACGCTGAGAAAACCTGCACCATTGCCAATGCAAGACACTAACACTGGTTCTTGAGCTGCCTCAGGACAGAGAACACGAGTCAGGAGACAGTATTTACATTTTCCTTGTGAAATGTGAAGCCCTGTGAGCTGAATCACCCATCACTGAAAGACACTGCAAAATCCACCTGCCTGGTGGGAGCCACTGGTTTTCCTGGCATTTCCCCTTCTGTGCTGGCTTTGCCTTCCAGCTCCTGCTGGGAACCACTGCAAGTGTCAGCACCAAAAATGTACAAATTCTGTGAAACCCACTTGAACTTTCTCCTCTAAGAACTGCAGACTTGGCAACAAATGCCTTTGAAGCCTCATGATCAGCCCTGCCTTGCCCCTTGCCCAACCAGGACCTGTGTCCTTAAAGGTCACTGGAACTCTCTTGCAGGCAACGCTGCCTAGAAACAAACTGGCACGGAGCTTGAATTTTGTTTTTAAGCCACAAATTCCTAGAACATTGCTCTGTGGTCAGCTGGAAGGAGGCAGAGCAGCCTTCAGACCATTTACCCGAAGCAGAGTCAGCTTGTTTCACACCTCTCTTAGGGTTCAATTACTCACAAACCAGACATTTATGCTGTGAATACGCTTTCTGAGATCAGTGATGGGCTCTGCTGTGATTAAGCCATCCCCAAGTGTTTGCTCTGTGGGAGGCACATGCAGAGGGAGGTGCTGCCTGCAGCAGGCTCTGGGACCTCTCCTTCACATGTTATTTTAAGCAGGAGAGATTCCACAGTAATTTAACAGGCAAAGTACAGAGTACCAGCACCTCTCTGCTGGAAATCATCCTTTTCTTTCTCACATAATAAATTACGCTCTTTTATACATAGAAAATAAGGTCTGAGGGAATCACTTACCCACTGTTTGCGCGCATGATTTCTCCTCTTAAAGTATAAAATTAACTTTTTCCGCATTGCCTGGTTTCTGTAAAGAGAGAGAAAAAAAAAAGATGAGATCTGATTAACGAGGCGGCTGAAATACACAGCCTGGCTTTCCCCACTCCCAAAAGAGTGTGCAGCACAGTTTCCACCTTAACTTGGAATTGCATCAACTTGAGAACAGCAAATGCTCTTATCTCAGACCTGGAGCCAGCTTAGAGAAAGACCAACAAACCCTCTGAGACCAGGAACTTCACCCACATCTGTGGGCAAACCAGGACTAAAGTTGAGAACTAAATCAATAAACTCCCACTGCAAACCTTCCCCGTGTTCTCAGCAGCACACGTGGGCAGACACTCAGCTCTGCATCTATCCATGGGTCAGGCTGGTCCTTCAATGATTTCACACTGTTCTGCAGAACCCCAGTGGGTGCCCAAGAGCTGGGGGGCTCAGGCCAAGCTCTGCATGGCAGGAGGTGGCACCCCCGAGCAGAGACCGGCACACCCCAGTGCCCAGATCAGCAGCGATGGGGATGTCAGAGCACACGCGTTCCCCCAAGGGCTCTGAGGCCCTGATAAGGAGGCAGGATCACAGCAGGGCTTGCAGCACTTATCTCCTGACCTCTTGCTTCCTTGGAGCTGTGCCCGACAGAGCTGCAAACAACCAGCCAGGAGAGTTCAGCCACTTGCAGAATTAGGACCTCAAGGGGGAATCCGGCCACCACAACCCCAACCATCCTGGTCTCTGCCCAGACATCCCCTCACTTTCTTCTTCTTTCTACTTTCTAAAGGCAGCGTGAAAGAACTGCTCAAAGAGAAGTAGCACAGGAGCAGAACAGTGCTGAAAAGGCTGCAGGAACTCCCAGAGCCTGCATGAGCCCCAGAGCTGAGCTCCTGGTGGCTGTTGCTGTTGCTAATATTCACAGCAATAAAATCTCTAGGTAAAAGGTAGAGACCAGGGGCAAAGGAGTTTCCTTAAGTCTTTTATCCCGATTAAAGGCAGAGCTGCAGTGTGTAATTACTGATCAGGAGCTTAGCAGTCTGATGTAGGCACGTTCTGTGGGATTTAGCCGAATGAAGAGACACCCTTGCTGCTTCCTCATTCCCCTCCTGTGTGGCTAGCAGGAAGGGAAAAGCCACCCTCCTACCCTTGTAAATCCTTCAGCATAATGAGCAGCAAACAGGATTGTTTGGGAAGGGGCAGAGGGCCCAGATCACCTAGAGAGAACTGGAGACAGTCCTGGCTAAGTTTAGGAATGGAGAACATTGCAGAAAGCATCAACATTTTTCCCTTTTCAAACTCTCTTCTTGCTACACCACTGAACCACGCAGGGGCACTCACAGGAATGACAGTGAGCCCACAGCAAGGGCTGCCCTGGGAACCACAGCTCCCTCCAGCACTGGTTTGCCAGCCCCAGCTCTCCACACGCTCCTGCATCCCTTCACAGCACACACTGTGAGCTTTCCTCCACTTCCCCAGCACCGTGTGGTGCCTCAGAGGGCAGCAAACCCTCCCACAGAGACCCAGCCAGACAGATTTCCTTCCAAGGTTCAGCTCTTTGCGAGGCTCACTGTGCCCAACAAACACATTCCTGTTTGTTTGTTTATTCCTGATCCTAATGGAAGCTCCAGCACAAGGGAACCTTTGGGGTAGTGCTAATGATGATCCTGTGCGAGATGGGTCCTGGATTGCCCCTTGGGGCCAGCCCAGCTAAATCAAGCCCTGCCCTCCCCATGGGTGACATCCAGGGGCATCCTGGGGTTCTGACATGCTGCTGCTGCTGAATCTGCTGCACAAGTTCTTAGAAAACAGGAGAGCAAATGCAGGAAATCAGCAGCTCTTACGCAGCCAATGGGTTGCCTTGAGTTGTGCATCATGGCTGACCTTGAAAGTGCGAATACAGGCAAAGGCTTAATGGCTCTGCAGCTGCAAAAATCAGAAATGCCTTGAAAGCCAGTGTATGTTTACCACCACCAAGGCTGAAGTAATCAAAGAGTGAAAGGATTACAACAACAACAAACCCCCTCATGCCCTGAATGTTTTTGCCACTTTATCTTTTCGTTTTGTTTTGTTTTTGCATAAGGTCAACCTTTCAAAGGTTAATACAATCTTGGTAAATATAAATAGGCTTCACAGTTTATCTTGCTACACGTACTGCTGTTACTTAGAAACCATTTGCAGCGAGGTTAATTCGGGCCATGTGTCTCCCAAGCACACGCTGTGCTCCCTGGGCAAATCAGCCAGCCCAGCACGACTGCTGTGCACAGGGAGGAAGGTGAGGGCTGTCTGCTGGGAGCTGGGCATGGAAACAACCACTGAGGAGTGGCACATGGCAAGGGCTGCTCCTGCAAGGTGCCAGCCCTCCTCCCTTCTCCTCCTCCCCTGCCCGAGTCCTGCGGTTTGCTGGGGAAAGCGTCAAGGATGGAGACCTGAACTGCATGGGGATGAAGAAATCAGGCAGCTCCCAGGCAGGAGGAATGGGTGCTCCTTAGATAAAGCAACAGTGACTCTTGTGGGCAGTTGAAAGTATTGCTGGGCTGGCCTGTCACACCACACCGGGTGGGGAGGACGTGTGAGCTCCCTGCCTTATCCTCAGCAGTGTCCCTAAGGAATGGGCAGGCTGGGACAGACACAGAACCCCCCAGCTTCTGGTGAGCTGGTGTTCAGAGGCTGCCAGATGGCACATCCCCATCCTTGTGGTCAACAATTCATCTGTGGATGGAGCCCATCTCCACTCCTGACCTCCCTGTGCTGCAGAGCTCATCCTCTCCCCCCTGCCCCACTGACTGGTGAGCTCACACAGGAGCACAGCTCTCAGAGCCAGTCCCCAAACCACCAGGTGAAACCCATCTCCCACTGCCAGCACAGCAAAGCCAGCCCTGGGGCAGGCAGCTGCTTCCACCTTCACTGGCTTGGCCCAAGGTTGCTTTTGTTTGGTGTCTTTCACAATGGAGCCAGTCAAGGAGAGAACCTGAACCTCTGACTTTTGAGCCACCTGGCCCAGGTCCACACGGGTCCTTCCTGGGGCTGATGTTAAAAGGATGTGGGTGCACGCATGCGTGTCAGGGCTGCTGTGTACCCACGTGGGGAGCTGCCAAAGCCCTGGAAAAGGCTCCCAAAGGACACAAAGAGCTGATGCACGGCAGCACACCTGGCCAAGCCTGGGGAGACCTTCAACTGGTGCGAGACGAGATGAAAGGAAGTTTGCTATTTGAGCAAAGCTAATCAGGGGTATTTAATTACACAGGAACGTCTTTCATCAGCCAGAGCAAACAAAGTAGGGACAAAACTCAAAGAGTGATGGGAAGGAGGCAGCGAGCAGCTGGCAAAGCCATTGTACAGCAAGATGGATCACACAGGCAAGGGTAGGAAACCGAGGAAGCTCCAGCCAAACAAAGCACAGGGAGATGAGAGATCTCCAAACCAGGAGACCTGAGGAGCACAGCAAGAACACTCTCCTAGAGGCAATGGAGACCCAAACAGCTCTGTCCTCCCCTCTGCCACGCCTGCTCGTGTGCAGGGCTGGTGCCAGGATCCCCAGCTGCAGCTCAGGGCAGTCACTGGCTCCCTGCAGGCACAGGACTCCCACGGCGAGGGCAGGGAGCAGCTCACCCTGCTCACAGGTCACTGCACTCATTCCCTGCTTGCTCTGAAATGGCTGCAGCCACGGCTCCAGCTGCTAACACACTGTAACCCACTAACCCCAAGGCAGGGCACGCTGCTGGAAAGCCAGCTGTTCAGAGCAGCTCCTTGCAATATTTAGAAACACTTTCTGGGGAAGAAAAGCAAAGCAGATCTTTAGTTATTTACCCCAGAGCCCTTGGGCACTGGGATGGACTAAACCCCCAGCACCATCAGTGCCTCTGAGGGTGAAGTGGCAGAGGTTTGTAACTCTGGATGTACCAGGAGGCTGCTGGTGCCCAGAAACACCTCTGCCATGCCCTGAAGCCCAAACTGACAACACAAGCCCAAGTGTTGCAAGTTACTCCCCCCCCCAAACCAGTATTGGCTTTTTACTGGCAAGAGGAAGAAGCAGAAGGTAGCAGTGTGTGTCTCCATCATTTAGTAATTCATCACTAGGTAATCTGCTGCCTTGGTGCATGCCAATAGAGAATAAAAGAGATGAGAAACCTTGAATGGGATGAGCAGGGAGCTGCTAGGTGAATTTCTAATGAGGAAAATGTCTACAAGCACTAATAAAAAGACCTAAAGAGAATGCATTAGTAATGACAGGGTTTGAAAGAACATTTGTGTTACATGTCAGGCTTCAACTATGAATTTAGAGGCAATCCAGTGCTACTAAATCCCCTAAACAGCAAGTAATGAAAAGATGACTTAAATTTCCCAATGTGAAAAGTGATTTGGAAAGCCACAGTTTGAGATTTTCAGAAGACAGCTGTTCTGCTCTTTTGGGGGGGCACTTAGAAAACAAAAAGAGATTCAGAAGCCCTGAAACCTCTGTGAAAATCCTGACTTCAGATTTTGATTCTGCAGAGGCAGGTTTCCTGCCCTCTCCCCAAGAAGCTCTCAGCTGCAGACAGGAACCCAGATGTGCAAATATTAACAGTGCACTCAGCTCTGCTGCTGCTGGATCTGGGCACGTGAGAAAACCCAAATCACAACAAGCTCTCCATCTGCTTTAACTGTACATTCAGAGAGGTTCTCCAACACCTCTCTAAGCGTCTTGAGGGGACACAGCCTGGTTTCACCCCAGCATTCCTGAATTTCAGTGTAAAGCAAGGAGAAGTTCTTGAAGGGGAGGCTTAAAGCAAACCCTGTGAACAGCACCTTGCATGCACTTACTCTGGGCTATTCCCTTTGCTTTTTGTCTGCTTTTTCAAGGCTCAGGGAAGCTCACATTTTGCTTTCAGATACAAGTCTCACAGAATATGATGGCAAGATGACTGCTTTGGGAAGGGGGAGGAGAGTCCTGCCGGGTGCTTTTCATGGCTGACCGAGCAGGAATCTCCTGCCTAGAGAGGAAGGCCCCCTTGGAGAATATCTCTTCAGACAGACAGCAGGTAATTGATCCTGCTCATGTGAACAACATCTTGTCATTTTTCAAACGCTTGGAGGAAAGAAGGTTAATATCTCTGGAGCCTGAGCCTGGGGAATGCGCAGAGTCACTGCAGTGGCAGGGTGGGAAGGGCAGCTCTCATCCTTGTACAAACCAGCTGGCAAAGCCCTGAAATAAAGACCTTGACCAGAGGCACTGGCGCTTCACTGGTGCACCAACATATTCTGCATTTGTTGTATTTCATCAAGATGTAGGAAAAGGGTCTTTTGTAGCCTTCTCAACTGATGCAGAATCACTCGAGTGGTTTCCAGCTGTGCTCAGGGCTGTGATGCATCTTGGATAAACTTTTCAGTCTGCTGCAAAGCCAAAAAATTCTCACCTTGAAAAACCACAGGGGCAAAGCTCACCCCATCCCTATGAAATGAGGGCACTAAATGCCCTCTTACCCTCCTCTTTCTTCATGAGGGGGTTGCAGAGCCCTTCTCTCCAACAATGCAGGAATTGAAAACAGAAAGGACACGGTCCCATCAAAGGTAGGTCAAGGCTTTGGAACAAACCACTCAAGGGTGCCTTGGATCCCACAGCAGATGTAGCATACAAAATTAACCATGTTTGCTCGAAGCCTGCACTCACAGGTGAACCAAAGGGACCGTGCAGGCGAGGAACGGAGCACAGCCAGGCAGCTAAATAGGACTTAAAAGCTTTTGAAGCTGCAAACACTGGAATGAACTGGGGCATGAAATTAATTTTAACTGCACTGAATAGGAGACAGGCCATAAAACTCCATGAATATAAGAGACCGGTAACATTTCAGTAAGAGTAGAAATTCTCCCGGTAAGTCCCCAGCCAGCTCTATTAGCATACGTGACTCATCCCAGCTGAAAAGCAAAGCAAACAAGAAGGGAGAATTAAATGAGTGTTGCAAGGCACAGAGTATAGCTGTGGAGAAATCGAGGAATCCTGGCTTTCTGATATTCAAATGCCTTCCCACTGACACTTGCAAACATTCAACTGAGAATAAAAAATTCACACTAAGAAGCGTTTAAAAACAAAGCAAACAAAAAAAAAAAAGCTATAAAAGGTATTTGTGACAATAACAGCCTGGCCATTTTGTGCCCATGAGACTCCAAACCAGCTTCACATAGGGGCAGTTCAACACAGCCAGGATGCAGTGAGGATTTGTGGACAGAATCACAACCCAGATGATTTTCCAGCAATCTGCCAAAAGGCTTTTTCATCATGGTTAAATCTGCATAGGGCGAAGCTGTTCTGGAGAATCTGCATCCAATTACACCTTAGCAGAATATAACCTGTGGTGTCCTGGCAGCTGTCCTGATGTTCTAATGCATCTGGCTGGTATCTCCCAGCACCCTGAGGATTTACTCCATCCTCTATGGAAACAGCCTCCTCCAGGCTATGGAGCAGAAGCTGCTCTTCTGGAGCAGAAAGGCACAAAGATATTAAGAACAAGGAAAAGACAAAAAATATCTTCAAATTCAGCTTGTGGAAAAATTGTAGATCAGATGTGAACATCCAAGCATAACTCAGTCAAAACAGAGGAGTCTGATATCTTTTGCTCTTGGTCAAAGGACCCTGAATAATTTTTTTGGAAGAATCACCAAAATCTTGATTTTCTAACTGCCTCCCAAGCATCAAAATGTCCTTTAAGGTGCAGCACGGACAGGGAGATGGGAGAAAAGACACACAGATTTCTCTGCGTGTCCACCAACAAGTAGCAAAGTGCAGACCTGACCCAAGGACCTCCAAGACAGACCCACAGCCAAAACCAGCCAACATCTGGAGCCCAGATTGCTCAGGGTCCTTTCACTGACCCAGATCTGTGACTGTGCTCGGCTGGCATCAATAACCAGCTGAAGGCAGCTAATTGCCAGGTTTCTGGAAGGAGGAGACGGAGGCTTTTCATTAAAATGTGTGGTTTCCTTCCCGTATTTTTGCAGCATTAATCACAGCGAACATTAACCCCAAGCCTGCCTGTTCCAACCTCTCCTTGGTCTGACCCTGCCACAGCTACAGCCACGTGGGGATAGTCACTGTCTGGGGTGGGGATAACCCTGCAGAGGCAGGAATGGAAGGGAACATCTGCCCTGCTGCCTGGTTTGATGGGGCTTCACCTCTCACCAACAGTTTTACTCCTGACCTGCGCAGTCAGTTCCCTCTTGTTTGTGCCCGTCTTTCAGGCAGCAACCCAGGACAGGAAATGGTTTAAATCACAGGAAAATGTGATCACAAACCCACAAATATTGGCAGGGGAGTGGAGAGTGGGTGAAGTATCTGCATCTACTTTTAACTCGTTCTTTCAAGGACAACACTAGCGATCAGCTTGAAATTGCCACCTTCAGCACCTGCCCTGGGACGGCTGTGGGGCCCCTCAAGGCATCCCCGAGAGCTGGTGACTTCCACAGCCCATCAGAGCTGGGGGTGAGCATGACCAGCAATGCACAGAGCACATCCTGGGGCCACACAAGATGGGCTATCACTCATCAGCCTCCTGAACTGACAGGGACCCCCAGAAGCGACAGGGACCCCCTGAAGTGACAGGGACACCCTGAACTGACAGGGACCCCCAGAAGCGACAGGGACACCCTGAACTGACAGGGACCCCCAGAAGTGACAGGGACCCCCCAAAGTGACAGGGACACCCTGAACTGACAGGGACCCCCAGAAGCGACAGGGACACCCTGAACTGACAGGGACCCCCAGAAGTGACAGGGACCCCCCAAAGTGACAGGGACACCCTGAACTGACAGGGACCCCCTATGCCCTGTGGGAACTGAGGGGCTGGGGGTGACACTGGGCTGGAAGGTTCTGCAGGGAGTGCACTGCTGGGATGGCACAGGAAGCTCTGGGTGGAGCAGGAACAGAGCAGGGCCTGGCAGTGAGCAGCAGGGTCACATCACCAAACCCTCCTCCCTGCAGCCCTTGGGGACAGAGAGCCCCTAAACATTGCCACCTCCTGCCATGCTCCCCTAGAGCAAAGGTACGGGAACTCTTCCCTTATAAACCCCTGGGATCAATTAACATACCGCTGAAAAGCAAGAGATTATTAACTTTTGTTAATAGATTATTAAAGATGATTATCACCAGCTGACCGAGCTGGTACCAAAATAGACTCGCTGCAGGCAGCTCAGAGCAATCATCAGTTCATTCAAGGCAGATAAAAAGTTTCAGATCTGGTTTGACTATTTAAATTTCCAACAATAATCACAATTATCGCTATTCTCATTAGCTGTTATAGTTCTTCTATGTTCAGGAAGTCACTGTGGTTATTAAACACATGCTGATGATTAAATCATGTATTGAGGTGATAAGTCAAATTAGATGATTGCTAAGTCTCAGTAAGTATCTTTGAAATAACCAGTTGTTATTAGACATTCAAGAGGTCCTTCATGAAAATCTAATTGTAATTGCAACTTTTCATTTTACCTCATCTTTCTTGCATGCAAACACACACACACACACAGGCAGCTGATTTCATATTTCAGTACAGGAGAAACACAGAAGAAAGCACTTAAGGTAAGTGTTGTCTGGGAAAACATCAAGGACCCACATCCACCCCACCCTGAGAAAATCAAACAGCACCTTCAGCATCCACCTTCAGCTACAGCTCCTGACTGCTGAGCTCCTGGAGCCGGTTTGTGCTTCAGGCACGCAGAGCAGCTCCAACAGGATGCTCACAATTCCTCAGCAGCTTTAACTGGGGTCTGGGAGCAAGCTGGCACCCCTCCTGCTCCACACCACTGCCCAACCTGACGTTTCAAACAGCTTCATCGCCACATACTTACATTTTAATGTTCTCATGGTACTGCCTGGTGTCTGAAGGCTGGTTGTATAACGGCTGAAACAAATAAGAGAAACGAAGGCATAAATGGTACGGTCTGACATTTAGGAACTTAAACCCATCAGCAGCGCCGCTGCCTCGGTGCAGACACCCAGCCCGTGTCCCAGCCCCTCTCCCGGCCGTACTGGAGGCTGCTGGCTGCCGGCAGCGCCGCTCGAGTCCCGCTGCATCCCGGTGCATCCCGCTGCATCCCGGCGGAGCCCGGGGGAGGGAGCGCGGGCAGCGCCCGGGCTGGGCTCGGATCAGCGCGGCGGGGACGCGCTGTTATTCACCGATTAAAAAACGCACTGCGCCTCGCAACATATGACACGGGGGAGGCGAGGGGAAAGCGGGGCTCGGCGAGCGGGGAGAGACAGTCTGTGAGCTGCGAGTTGTTATGTCTACGCGCTAAAAGCCTGCCTGAGCCCGCCCAGCGAGCCAGGCACAGGCAACTGCGGGCAGGACAAGACTTTGCCCCTGGGGCTTCCAGCGTTGCCAGGTCCCCCAGCACACCTGAGTACAGCGATGCTCATCTGGCCATCAGATCTGTGCTTTCCCCAGGGTTGCTCTGCACCCCACACCCTCAGTGGGGATATGGCAGGGAGCTCCATGCGGAGTCAGGAGAGTTGGATCCATCCCTGGTCACTGCCCTGCCACCTCTGCCTTCCCAGGGATTTATCCTTGGGAATCTGGAGGGTCCCACCTCTGGAAGGGAGAGATGCCAGAGACCAGGCTCAATCCCACCCAGCTCAGCACACACTCCAGGGGCTGCCACCGATTGTGTCCACATCAGCAGGACGACAGGGTGCTCAGGATTAAGCCCTTCAACACTTCTATTCATTATCTTAAGCTGCTGTGAACATGTCCAAGACTGGGATAACCAAAAGCTTGCCACAGCCCAACCATCACCTAAAGAGCACAGCTCAGGTCTGACCACAAAAACATCACCCAGTACTGAAGCAGTTCATCCACAAACCTTCCCCAAACCAGCTGTGAGCATCTCACATCTGTGACCAGCACAGGCAGAAGGACATGGGATGGCCTGGTTGAAGGTAGCATCCTGACCATGGATACACACACCAGCTCACCCTCCTCCTGTGGCTGATAGGGCTGAGGCTGTGCTCTGGGTCTACCCGATTTCACCCCAGATTAAACACAGGAAAAGAGCAAAACATGTGCTGAGCATCTGCTCAACCAGGTGAGCAGCACTGGAGGCGACAGGACGCGTAAACAAAGATGGGTCCTTTTCCCCTCCAGTTTGAAGAAGGTGTTACTCCCACATCCTCTGTGCTATCTCCCTATCACCATCACAGGTGCTTGGCACAGAAGCTTGTTTTTCCACACAGCCTGTTTCTACTTCTCTTTAAAACACAGATTCTGCTTCACCACTCTGCTGCCACACAGGACAGCCACATCAATCCTCACAGAACAGAGACTGGGTGTAGCTATCCCTACTCCATCACCAGCAGGCCATCAGCTTCTCTTTCTGGCTGCCCTTGGACGTGTCCCTCTCCTGTGTGAAAGCACACGTAATCCTGGGCAGCAGGGGCAGGCAGAGGCACGTAATCCCCAGGCAGACAGGCACAGGAGATGAACCCCCGTGTTCCAGGAGTGCTGACAGCCATCCACACACCCATCACCTGGAGAGGGGGTGAGGGCTGCAGGCCTGCCAGGGGACACCTGCCAGGGGACACCTGGCCACCGTGTGCTGGCAGAGCCAGGGCAGACAAGAGGGATGAGCAGATCCTGGTGAAGAAGACATTCTCAGTGGTATCCCTTCCCCAGGGGTGCTTCTATCAGGAATCCTCTCAGATCTGCTGGTGTGCTCCAGGCTCAGAGCTGGCTGTGCACTTCATGCTTGGAAAGCTCAGAGGAACACAGAACATCCGTCTCATCACGTAGCTCCAGAGGCAGGAGAAACAGCCACAGCTCCAGAGCATCACATCCTCAGTCACCCTGGAAAGCTGGGAGGCTTTGACCAGTGACTGTCTTCTGGAAGAGGACTGCAGGAACTGGAAATACTGAAGAATGATCATCTCTCTTCCCTTCTTGATCATAAATATCAAAGCAAAGAAGCTTCTGTGTCACAGGTGACACAGACCTTCCTCCTGGGAGAAGCAGTGCAATTAACATTTTGGTTTGGACCTGGGTTGGAAAATGCTCATGTGCACATGAACATCACAGATGCCCTGATGCCAACCAGCTGACCAAAAGCTAATGACTCCTCTCAACTACAACCTATAAATGATACGAACACTTAAAGAGTCTTAGCTAGAAAAGTTAAGTGTCAGCAGGCAAGAGCACATCATTTTAAAAGAAATGTCCAAACACTCAGAAATATGAAATTCTGGGACCAGAACCCAAGATCCACATGACACCAGCACCTCAAAGAGATTTCTATCTGCAAAATAGCCTCAGCAGTGGAGGAAACCCAGGAGACAAGTTCTACTCACCCACAGAGAACTTACAGACTAAATACTTAAAGAAACTTTATTCTCAGCAGGGCAGGGACTGAGAAACAGCATCTTCCCTCAGAGCCACCAACAACTCCTAATTCAACCTTTCTCAGTAAGTAAGCAGAAGTACAGCTCACAGGTCAGATAGGTAAGGTGATGTTCAAAACACACCCAGTGTTCCTCCAGGGTTAGGAACATGTAATACATTTCTCTGGAGAATGACATTTTAGAAAAACATAATTGCAATGCAAAGCTATTACTGGAAAAGCCTTGTATTTACTGAAAGCTCTTTAGAAATAAACCAGAAAGGTCTCAATTGCTTTCTAGACACTGCAGGGTTCAGATTATGCATCTCAAAACCATTTCTCCTGGGGAAAACATGCAGACATTTTTTAAATGGTACCACTACACTGCAGGGATGACATGAGCAGAGCCCTGGTTTACTGAGTCACAACCTCCTCCTGACCCAGACAGGAGCACCAGCTTCCCAGGACCCAAACTGGATCCCTGCCTCCCAGAAATCCTTGGCCTCCTGCTCCTGTCTGCCAGCACACCAGTACTGGTGCCATGACTGACCAATTCCCACCACAACCTCCCATCCCACCCCATGAGCTCCAGCATGCTGCTCATTCCTGAGCCAGCGTGCATCCAGCACCACCACTGCTCCAAAGGCACCCACCAGAGCCCTCTAAACAGCCAGAACAGGACATCCCAGCAGAGCTGACAGCAACACACAGCCCTGCTGGTCACAGCCACACCTCTCCCTGCACAGACTGGATTGGCACCAGGATGCTCAACCTCCCTGCAGGAGACCCATGGGCTGGGGCAGCTCCAAGGCTGGAGCATGTGGTGTGTGTGACATGGTGGGGCAGGCATGAGCATCAGGCACAGCATGCTCTTCTTCCTGGAGCTGCTTCCTTTCCAGCTCAGAAGAAGCTGTGACCATTCATCTTGTCTCTCGTAGGCTGTTGGCAGGCCCTGGGCACTGCTGTGCCCAACACAGCGTGAGGGCTGGGCCATAGGAAGTGCCTCTCCCATGGCAGATGGACCAGACAAGTCTGCAGGATGCACACAGAGCCCAGCTGGGTTCTCTCAGTGAGGTTTCCCCTTTTCCCCTGTGCTCTGATGAGTAAGGCACAGAGACAGAGGAAAGGTTTGCACTGGGCTCTGTTACAGCCCCCACCGTGCAGTGTCAACACCCAGGGAGAAAACATCAACAAAATAAAAAAAGGAAAAGCAGAGTGAAAAAAACAAAGAAAGGAGGAGGAAGAAAAGGAAATGCAACATCTTTTGGATGAGGAAGCACCAACCCTGGGCACTGCCAATCTTCAGAGCAGAAAGAGCAAAGGGTTTGACCCTGGTGACTCAGAGGAATAATTATGAGTGTTACCTCCTCAGCAAGGAAGTGGGCTTTGTCACGTGTGACCTCTCCCTTATGCACAGGGGAAGACAGCAATTAGTGCCACCCCCACAAGGCAAGTGCAAATTACAGCTGTGGAAGCCTGAGCTGCCTGCTCCCATCTCCTACAGACTCCATCCACTGCACCCCAGGCTGGTGCAAAGCAGGGGATTGCCTGTCAGACTGGCTCTGATCCTTCCAGCAGCATCACTGCCAGTGCACCTTCCCCAGGCACCTTTCTCCAGGACTCAGCCCCAGGGGTTGTTTCCAGCTGCCCCTCCAGCAGTCAGTCCTCTGACTACAGATGGATTTTTCCAGATGAGGGAGAAGCCCCAAACTGACAATCTGTCCTAAGCTGTTTCCTCAGCTTCCCTGTACATGAGGGGGAGTGCAATAGGAAGTGTGCAAATCCTGATACCTGCAGGTTGTGGCAGCTCACAGAGCACCCTTGAGCATCCCCCTCCATTTTCAGTGGGTGGGACAGAGGCGAGTCCAAGCACCCATCCCTCCACACAGCACTCGAGGCTGGCTGAGAGGCAGCAGCCCCGCAGTGCTGGTGCTGTGTCTGCCACCAGCAGACGAAGCCTCAGCATCCCCAGTGGAGGCACAATGCGCCAGAGCCCCTTCCACCCTCCAGCTCCACTGCAGCGTGGGAGGAGGGAGCCAAAGGGTTAAACCTCTGCGAGGAGGGCTCTGTGTATGTGTCTGCCTGCGTTTCAGGACTCGTCTCAGTCACTTCGCTTCCTGCTTTGGTGCTGTGCCAGCGAGAGCTCCGGGCCGGCAGCGCGTTTCCTTGCGACAGACACACGGACAGCGATCGCTCCGGGCTGGCCCGGGAGCCGCTCCCCGAGCACGGGCAACACTCACCAGCTCCACCTGCGGACCCAGCCCTTCCAGGATCCGGTGGGCAGCCTCCGCCTTCTTCTGCAGGGAGGAAAAGGGACAGGAAGAAAAAAGTTACTTGTGCCATCGGTTACAAGTCGCGGCTCTCTGCTCAAACCACTCCTCAAACCTCCACGGAGCCGGCACAAATCCCATCCCTGCCTGAGAGAAAAGGTTCAGAAGCTCAGCCTCTGGACCAGCACTCGGGTTATCATGGCTTTAAAGGATCCGGGCCGTGCCCAGGAGTGACCCGGATCCCTGACCCGTCCTGTGCCAGGCGGGGGGACTGTGCCCGGTACCTCTGCGCCGCTGCCCTGCCAGGAGGAGCAGCAGGAGGAGCAGGAGGAGGAGGAGGAGGAGGAGGAGGAGGGCGGGCAGACCGGCACGCACGCAGAGATGATGCCCTTTCTAGGATTCATCTCTTGACGAGCATGTGATCATTAGAGTGGAGCTGCCCTTGGCTCCTCGTCGTGCTCTCGCTTCCCTCCCCTCCCTGCCGCAGAGCAGCCCTTCCTCGTCCCCTCCCGCCCCCGGCCAGGCTACCTAGTGCTTATTAAAGGCACAAAAACCACCCAGGAACACGTGTCAGGGGCTGTGCAGTGCTTACTAATTAAACAGGCCTGAAAAAAAGACATGGGTTGGCTGTAGCAGGAGTCTAAATAAAAGATGACATTTTCAGTAAAACAGCACTTCCTTGCAGAGCCCAGGCTGTTCAGGGGGGTTACTGACAGTCCAATAAATCCAGATCACTGCGTGCTGCCGACACCAAGGGCTGAGCTGCTCAAGCCAAGTACCTGACAGTGATGGGGATGAGGAGATGGATTTTCAGAGGCTCAGATAAAACAGGTAGTTTTAGCTATTTGGGGGTAAGGGAGAGAGAAAATCCCTGTTTAGCTGCCTAAAACAGGGAGCTAAGCCCCAGGCCTGGGGAGTAGGGGTGGGCTGGGGTCTGGGCTCCTGGCAGAACCAGTGGGGCTTGGCAAACCCTGGGGAAACATTCCAGGGAAAAGGGTCCAGCTCACGTAGCTCTCCAGCATCAGGCACCTCTCACACTGTCTCAGGGGAGGATGAGTTTCCCAAGGATTGTCTCACCAAAGGCTGGCACAGAGCCCTGCTGCTTTGCCCCCGCATCCACCCCCGTGGAGAGTTTCCAAAAGTCTCATCCATCCCCCCGCTGCTGGCTGGTCCCCAAAATCACTGATGCAGCTGTAGGTGTGCAGACTCCTCACTGGAGCCTTGTGCACCCACACAGAGTCTGATTAGCACACGAGAACTTTGGAAGAGTCACTCCCTCCAAGCAGCTGTGGGAGTCACCCTGCCCATGGTGGGGCTCAGGCAAACGGCCCTGGCCAAACCCAGCCCCGTCCCAGCTGCAAAGCCTGCAGCAGGTGCCTCACCACAGCAGGACCAGGAGAGCTCCCAGTTCCTGTATCTGCTGTACACAAAGCTTTTGTGCAATTTAGAAGTGACTTCAAGGGTGCTAAGAGAGATGTGACTAATGTGACCGTGCTCTAGCACCATGCCCACACAGGGCAGGCAGCAGCCCTGCTGTCAGCGCATCCTGCCTGGTATCCACAGCATCCCCACAGCAGACCTTGGTGGCCACAGATGTCACCATCACTGCCCACCTGACTCCATTATTGGGAATGAGCCAGGTCTGCCCAGGGACCTGCCCCTTTGAAAAATTCATCACACAACAGAGAACTCTGGGCCAGAGCTTAATATTTTGGTCTTCACGAGCGATAAAATCTGCTGGCCTTGGAGAACATCAGCACTGTGGCATTGGAAAGTCTTACAGAATTAAATCCAGGGGGTAAGATTTTCAGGAGTGGAAGGATCATTAAAACCACTAAAAGCACTCTACATCAGTGGCCAAGAGGATGATTTGGCCCATGCCCTCCTGCCTGCCACTGGTTGCTGTTGAGCAGGAGGCATCAGCTTACCAAAATTTTTTGATGTGTATCTGGGACAAAAAAGCAGCAAACGTATTAATTGCATTCTGCATAATTCTGGGTAGAAGACTGTAGCCTCACTGAAGGCAGACAGTCCCACCATGGGCTGGTGGAAGATGCCCTGGCAGCAGGGATGGCACAGCAAGGGACTGGTGATGCTGTGTACAATGAGATTAACTTTGAGAAAAAGCTGAGTATGTTCAGCTTGCTGCATTTGCCATGTTTAGACAACTTAATGAGACGAGCCAGAGGCAAACCACCACAGGCAGAACATGTGGCAAATCAAGAAGAATGACATAATTTGTCTTGCATTAACCAACTGCAATATACGCGTCTCCAGAACGAAGGATCAGGAGGAGAAGCTATTCCGAGCACGTCATATCTTTGTACGTACACAAAGAAATTCCTCTATCTTGAAAGCTGCCCAATTAACACTTGACACCCACTGTAATTGCTGATGCTCCTTGCTGCCTTTATCAGATCATAGCAGAACCATAACGAGCTGCCTGAAAGGCCTGGCAGACCGAGGTGAGAGCTGGCAGTGGAACTGGGAAGAACATAAAACACCCAGCAGAAGGTCCCCACCACACCAGGGCTCATCTCTAGGGACAGACAGACACAGGGAGGTGTGCTCCTGTCTAGGGACCCAGCAAGCCAGAACCTGACTGGAGAATTTATGCAAAGCTCAAACTGTTCAGGTACAAAGGCAGCCCCCCCAGGCCCTCCCACAGCAGCAGGACCTTTGCTAAAGACCACCAGCAGTCCTGGTAAATCCTTTCCCTTCCAAAGGCATGGCCACCTAGGACTTGGTTCCAATACTGGTTTTGTGAGGAGTACGTTTAGTGATGGACCCTCCAGAAGAAAACCACAGGGTTCATCCTGCATCTGCTGAATGACCCCACCGTGCCTGCATTCCTGTTGTTAACAGAAGGAAATTCATCAAGAAGCAAACCCCAGCCTTCACCTCTAGTGAGATACATGAAGATCCCCAGCACTTGTACAGTCCCTCTGCAGCTCCCCAGCAAACAAGCAAAGATCCCTTTTCTTGATCTGATAGACAATCCTGAAATATTGTCTGAGCAGTGGTGTTCATGAAGGGACCTACAAGTGCATTTTTGGAGGGATCAGTGCCTTAAGAAACGTCTGAACCAAAAACATGGTCACTGCAGGGCCTACAGATTCAGAAGGGAGCCCACAGATGTATCAGGCAGCAGCATTTGCCCCTACAGAATCTGTCTCCCCCTGGGCAGGGGCACAGGCAGGGAAATGGTGCTCTTACCCTGGCTCATGCTCCTCCAAAGGGCCTGGGGCTAAAGAGATCTTCACCAACAGCAAAAACCTCCCTGCAGACTACAAAAAAATCTTCATTCTTGCCTGAAGAGCATTTGGCTTCCAAAGCAAACTCCAGCCCCTTGCTTTTCCTTTGAAGAAACTTAAAATAGGCTTGGGAGGGGAAAGCAGGCAGGAGAGCAACTTCCCGGCCATGTGAGCTCCCGTGGGGATGAGGAGCCAACCCCACGAGGCAGCAGAGCAACCAAAACCAGAGCAGGGAGAGCCTGGGATTTTGCGTGGGCTCTTCTTAAAGCGAAGTTTAAAAATGGAAGAGAAGGAAACACAGGAGTTATTTTGAGAAAGCGGATCTGAAATTAGGAGGCGGCACTTTCTTGGACCGGCTCCAGCCATGGTTCCATGCAGCACAAAGCTGCTGCAGCTGAACCGTGCTCCCGGGGTTATTTATAGCACCCCGTAGGCAGCAGGGCTGGAATGGGAGGGGTTCTGGTTGGGACCAGCCATGTCCTGCACACAGATAAGCAAAGCCCTTCTCCAGAGGCAGGAGACTGCACACAGGACGGTGCTGGGAAAAGTTCCTGTCCCGGCACCACATCCCCCGGACAGGCAGGGCTGTGGGAGCAGCATGGCAAAGAGGCAGGCTGGAGAGGGATTTGGTTTAAAACAAAGTTCAGGAGAAGTGTGGCTGAAGTCAGCAGAAATCATGGAAACCCTCAGAGACACCTCTGTGCATGCAGCAGAAAGCAAACAGCACGGCCAAAATGTGCTGGGACCAAACCGCAACTGGCAATGCCCGTTCCATAGGGAAAGATTTTCACTCCTATAACCACAAGCACTATTTTTTTCTGTCCTTTAAACCTCAGCATGCTCTCTCTGAGAGCCAAACCACCCCAGCAATTTGCTGCTCTCCACACAAAGCAGGTGGGATGAGCCCCAGTGCTGCGGAAGGGAAAGCAACACTCCTCCCTCTCCAGCTCCTGCAGCACAGTGCTCTCAGCAGAACAAGCACAAGTGCCCTCCCCTGGGCTCTCCCTGAACACAGATGCCCTGAGCACCAGGGAACCTCAGAGGCATGAGCCCAGCCCCTCTCACCTGGCCCAGGTGATGCTGTCCAGGGGTGCCCGTGGGATGCAGCTGCCCTGCAGGCTCCCCCACCTCCCTGTGCTGAGCTGGAGCCATCTCCCCACCCCACCAGCAGTGACAGAACACTGGTCCCCAAGGCTGGGGCCAGCAGGTGATGCAATGGGGGTTACAGATGACTCATCACAATCAGTAAGAAAACAGAGGAAACTGGTGACGTGAGCTGTGTGCTCACACCAGTTCACACCATTCCCCATCCACCCCGCACAGTGTGACAAAACCACTCATCTCAGTTCTTTGCTACTCTCTGGCTTTGGCTCATCACTGCCAGACAGTTTCAGTCCTTGGCTTGCTCACACCCCATCCATGGCCAGTGGGGGAGCCCCCAGGCACAGCTGGGTTTCCACTCACACTCTGCTGTCTGCTACAGAGCCCTTCAAACACATACCAAGGTTAAAGTGATGTGCCAGCAAGGTTTTGCCACTGCAAACCATGGCTGAGCATTCCACCACTGCAAAACTGCTGAAAGTGTTGGCATTGCACAGAAAACTTCCAGAAATTCACATTTCAGCCCTGCAGCAGTTACAGGAAAGCTCCAGTCACCCAACCCAAGAGCCAGGGCTGTGTTGCATTCTGCCTTCCAGCCTCCAGCACATTTGGGATCTCTGCAGTTCTCATCACTACTTCCAAGACCGGAAAAAGCAGGACATGGCCTCATCT